GCATCCTACCGGCGTGCGGTCGTGTATCCCTACTACGTGGCGCACGTTAAGGGACCCGGGCTATACTTCGTTTCAGCTTCGGTCCGAGCGCAGCTAATGTTATGAGCCGAAGGGCCAATCAAACAGCGAAAGAGGCACAACGTCATGGCGTGCTCTCAGCAGTTCATAGGACCAGCCGCTATTTGCCATCTCTCTGTGCGCGCTCCTCCGCCGCCTAGTCCTATCAAGCGCCGAGTGCACGCCATGACGGTGCGCTTTTCGCGCTGTTTGATTGGCCCTTTGGCTCATAACATCGGCCGCGCTCGGACCGAAGCTGAAACGAAGTATAGTGGTTCTACCGCACTGGCTAAATTGCTCGTCTACAGCTGAGAGACAAGTCGCCCGCTGAGGATGTTTGGTGTCCTCAAGGACACGGCAGAGAAAAAGGACTGGACCAGTCCAGTCAACGTTCCAAATCAGACTGCATTTATCAACAAAGACAAAAATAAATTACAGATTATATGGTGGTGATGCTGATTTGTACATATGTTGCTAACACAACCCAGCTACACAAATCAGAACACAACATTACCTTCCCCTAAAAAAACATTATTTCAATAACACCAAGCGAGACAAAGTATGATGCGTGCCCTTCATTACTTATCATGTTATGTGACAAACTCCCGGAACCAGCTTGGTGGTTTACGTGATCGTGTTTAGGGCCGCCGCATATTAGTGTCTGGTTGCGGCATTTGCTGGAAAGCTGGGAGATGCACGGAGGTAGACTCCTCCCGCCCAGGTGGTGTCCCCTGTTCTGCCACAACAAGTTCAGGCGGTTGCTCGTCTCGCAACAATCTCTGCTGGGATAAAACTGACTGCGGTTCCATCGGGGCCCCTGAGTTCAACGAAAACCATCCTGGCCAAGCTGGCTCTTTTTCTTTTTCCGCTTGAGGGACGAGAACTAATTTCGAAACGTTCCACGTCCGTCCGTCTTCCAGCAGAAACGTCGCTGGCCCTTTCCTTTTTAGGATCTTCAACGGTGTCGTAAAGACCATTCCGTTTTAGCGGTCTCGGGGCGGCGCCATTCTGTTAGACCGCAGCGCCCTCTCCACACATCCGGGAATTTCAGCAGGTTCGGCGGGGTAAAACAAGAGAGAGGGCACGTACTTGACTCTGCTAGCAGATGACAAACCGTTCTCCATCTTTGGGTTGTACCGGCGGGCTGTACCGACCATCGAACTCTCATTCGTGGCTGCCGTTGTGAAGTGGTTCGCCTTCTGAGAATATTTATAGCTACTCCAAGATCAGCCTATAGCGCTCTGTTTTTTTATTTCAGTCAATGATCAACTAGCGTATCTTTGTTATGTTACTTCAATAGCAGTGGAGTTAACCGGCTGCGTCTATTGCGTCAGGAGGTCGCTTTTTTATTTATTATTCCAGACTTCACTCATTGTCGCTAAAGGCCGAGACCAGTACGAACTTTGTATAGTAAAAAAAAAAAGCTACAGCAACCCGATTTACCTTTCGCCGGAGAGAGCGGCCACTCTGGCACAATTTTCCCATCTTTTTAATATTTGCAAGCAAAAAACAACGCAATTTGACTCGGTTAGTCATTTTATCTAGCGCAGCATTCAAAAATCATATCATGCATATAAAATATCCGCGCATCTGCGCTTAAAATTTCCAAAAATGACGTAATTTTAAACAGATTTTGAACGCCAGCCGGATGTTAGGTACAGCCCTCTCGGGGGAGCAGACGACACAGGGGTGAGAGGGGGGTATTTTTTCTCTCTCCGCTCTTCCTAGTGAAACGTTGTATACTGAAGGCCTCCGTTCCTGCCACCAGGTGGCTTGCGTACTCTGACGAAGTCGCCCCATGGTGAACTGAAGTTTCTTGGCCTCATTGTGAACAGCAAAGGTGTTCTCCCTGACCACGAGACGACCCGCGCCGTCGCTTTATTTATGCCGCCGTCTGACAAGAAGGCCGCGAGAAGATTTCTTGGACTTTGTGTCTACTACAGGCGGTTTGTTCGGAACTTCGCCAAGCTGCCCACACCGCTGATGCACCTCAAGAAGGACACCGTGAAGTACGAGAGGACAGAAAAACACCAGCGGTCATTCGATGAGCTCGAACGAAGACTCCAGACGCCCCCGATTCTTGGCGATTTCGACCAGCTCACTGAAACAGAGATCCACATCGATGCCAGCAATACCGGACTTGGCGTGGTACTGGTCCAAAGGCAGGACGGGGCAGAGCGAGTCGTCGCATACGCAAGTCAGACACTCTCTAACGCAGAGAGGAACCATTCGACGACTGAAAAAAGGGTTTTCCTGTCGTCTGGGCAATAACAAAGGTCCGCTAATATTTGTGTGGAAGCCCTTTTCGCGTAGTCACAAACCACCACTCGCTCTGCTGGCTTGCGAATCTGAAGGACGCATCTAAACGCCTTGCCCGGTGGAGCCCACGACTGCAGGAGTTCGACATGTCTGGTGTACAAGTCTGGCCGGAAGCACAATGACACCGACTGCCTGTCAAGGGCCCCCGACAAGGCCGGTCCTGCCTGCATCGAAGACGACGCCGATGAGTGTTTTCGAGGTGCTCTAGATGTGAACGTCACGCAGCACTCCAACGAGACGACCCTGTGCTGCGAGCACTCATCGAGCACCTAAAGCGACTAGCGAGTACGGTTCTTCGTGCTTTCTTACAAATCCTGCCTACCTTCTTCATACGGCAAAGGGTGCTGTACAAGGAGAACTTCGTCAATAACACAGCGTGGCTGTTGGTTATGCCTTCCAGCTTTCGAGAAGAAATCTTCCAAGGACGCCATGACAACCCAAAGGCTGGGCACCTTGGCTACAGCAGGACGCTCGCCAGGATTCGGGAAAAGTACTACTGGCCAAGACTACTGAAGACAGGTCACCTCTACGCTTGATCATGCCACGAGTGTCAGCGGCGCAAGAAACTACTGACGGAGCCCCCAGACTTCTACATCCGATTAGTCCCCCATATACGCCATTCCAGCGTTTCGGAATGAATTTACTTGACCCTTTTCCGCCGTCAACGTCTAGAAACCGCTGGATAATCGTCACCACAGATTATCACACGCGATACGCCGAAACAAAAGCCGTTCCTTCAGGGACTGTTTTGGAAGTCGCCAAATTTTTCATCGAGACCATCGTACTCCGGCACGGCGCTCCCGAAGTTCTGATTACAAATCGCGGGTCATTGTTCATGGCACAGTTAATGCAAAACATCGTCCGTCTCAGCCACACCAACCACCGGCGAACGACAGTGTACCACACTCAGACTAATGGGTTGACAGATTGCCTGAGCAAGACCATCGCCCACAGATTGTCAATTTACGTCGACGCGTAAATTTATGTCACATCCACCTGCAACACCGCGATTCATGAGACCACTGGTCTTACACCCTGTTAGCTGGCGCTTGGTGGCAAGATGATCACGATGCCTGACGCAATGCTGCCTCACGAGCCAGCTGGTGTCGGAAGTGACGACGCCCAGGTGGTTGCTCAACGAGCAGAAGTCCGCTAGCTCGCCCGAGTCCGGATCCATGACCAGCATCGCTTCGACGCTGCTCGCTATAACCTTCGCCGGCGAGCCCGGAGTCGAGGTGTGGGTCTTGACACCGATACTACGCCGTGGTCTCAGCGAGAAGCTTCTAAAGCACTCTACTTAGGACCGTACGAGGTCCTTCGACGCCTGGGAGATCTCAACTATGAGGTCGTTCCCAACGGAACGAAGGCATCATCGCAACGCCGACCGCCCCCCGAGGTGGTTCACCCCGATCAAATCAAGCGATTCTACGTTCGATAGAACGGTGGACCTCATGTGTTTCAAATCAGTCTTTAGTTTACGGTTCTTTTTTATTTGCTTTGCTTTAGTTTTTTTGTGCTGCATCGGGGCGTTGCACTTTTTAAAGGGGGGAGTAATGCCGCGCGCGCAGCTGTCCAAGTAGGCAGCGCGCCCGCGACCTAGCGGTTATCGTGCTTGCCTCCCACCCGAAAAGCCGAGGATCGATGCTTGGCCGCGGATACAATCTCTTTGTTGTTTCTGTAATGTCACGTTCTGGTAAATTCGAGAAGCCTGTTGCTTATTCGACGTTAGAATGTTCTACGCGCGAATTTTCTATATCGATTGTTCCAGATGCCCACGCGTCTACGAAAAGAACTCCGCGTGGCGAGCCGGGGTCAGTCTCTCCCCAGCGAGCATTGTCTCGCCTTACCGAAGGCAAGACAATGCTTTGACACTCCCATGATAAAACTTGTATATTTTGCTATATATATAGTCATTTAACATGTCTTATTGAGACCTGGGGCTTAACTTACGACACTAAGGGCCGGTTGCACCAATGTCGCTTACCTTAACCCGAGGGGGCACTTTCCTAAGCCGGCTTAGCGCCCTAAACTGAACTCGGATAAGCACGGGTTTAAATTCCGGTTGCACCAAAGTAAACTAGGGTTTACAGACGCGCCCGTAGGTAAACGCTGGATTTGCGTAGTGAATCTAGCGACAAACAGAGCGAACTAGAGAACGCTCAGAGGGAGGAATACAATTGGCGGAGAGAAATCACGTGATGTAAAAAACTTTTTTTTCGCGGTCGTCGGCGGCGGCGGTTGTTCTTCGCTGTTTTTCTCCGGTGAGTAGCAGATGAAACATTGTTTGATTGAACAACTCTGACCCCGACTTTTGTAAACTTGACAAAAAAATATTTGAAAACTTTAAATAAATACGAACGATCTGTACATTTGTCTACGTGTGGTTTCTTATGGATGCTAGCAGACGACTGCCACCAAGAATCGTCTTCACTTCTGCTCCCCAACTCGAAATGAAGAAAACGACGCGTAACCGGGCTCTAAATTTCACTGAACGCGAGACGGATTCATTATTAGACCTAGTGGGAGAATTTAAGAACATTGTAGAGAGCAAAACAACCGACAAGATTACAACGAAAACCAAAAACTGGCTATGGGACCGAATTACGCTAAAATTCAATGCCATCATGGGTGCTAGGCGAGAGGCGCATCAACTAAAAAAATGCTACGAGAATATAAAGAAGAAGGCCCGGAAAGACTTGGCCGCTAACAGGCTGGCCGTGAGGGCCACTGGTGGGGGGCCCTGCCCAACGCCTCTCAGCAGAACAACCGAAAGGTTGACAGCCTTCATCGGACCGCTGCTGGAGCCTCTACCGAACCGCTTCGACTCTGACGCTGTGCCCTCTGAAGGTAATTCAACCTTGCTCATTTCTAGCTTGTATGCCCTTCCGTAGGCACGTATCTAAGAATTTCGTTTCTATTATTTTCCGTCCAGTGCACGGTGACACTCAGAGCATCACAACAGTGCAATATTACCTGCCGCGGGACCCTGAGTTCGAAGTCGTGAGCCCCAGTTCACAGGTAAACATATACTCAATAACACACGACAACGAGGCCGTATTTTTTTTCTTAATGTCATTAAGTCTAAAATTACACCTTTACCTCGCCCCCCCTCCCCCCCCCCCCCCCCCCCCCCCCCGCCTTTTAACTTATTTTGTTCTAGTAACTAGAATTGCTTTAGCAAGCTCAATAGCACGGCTGTGGAGTTTAGAAAGTAAGCTAGAGCAACCCCATAGAGATGACATCCTAGGCTCACAATTTCTAAGAAAAATTAATTTTTATACAATGACTTAATATGGTGGCTATACAGAGAATTAAGACATATGGTTAAATATGTGCGGAAGTAGCGGGGACAAAAGCACACAGTGTTTGTGTCTTGTGTTTCCTTTATCACTGATATTCCGTGTCATAATCTTTATGCGTGCTGCTTTTTTTTTTACTGTGTTTTGACATCTTTCAAACATGTTGAGACATGAAATAGAGATGTTCAGGAAGGGATCACTGAAGGGCCCAAATAAATATTTGTCCCTGGCTTTATTTCTGTTAAGGCAACCATATTGTTTAAACTAACACTATGTGTGTTGTGCATAACTAAAAATTAGGAAGTAATTAAAACAGGCCTGTCTACATATATCTTCTTTTTCTTTTATATGCCCCCTGTGGGATTTTTTTCTGCTTTAACTTCTTTCATTTTTTGTCTGCAAGACGTAATGATCACCTTCTATGCTTTTTGTCACATAATGAGTGCATTGAATGCGTTACATTTGTTTGGTTTTACGGAGTGTTGTACTGCTGCAAAGTATCTTAGAAAGACCTTTCCTTGTTAATCAAAGGGGTCTTCATAACTGTTTGCTTGGTTTATTATCAGCATTACTTTTATACAAAGTTCAACATCCTCAAATGTAATGTATATGACTGTGCGAATAGACCGTTCTAACTAAATCATTATAACCAAGTAATTAAAGCCATAATTTCCTAAAACAACTGTATGTCTGCAACTGCGACACATATTTGAGCACCTGGTAGTGAAACACCGAGTCGTGAAAATAGGTGCTCTTCTAATGCTCATTACCCATGTTCCACTTAAATAACAAGCCTGGCTTTCTTCGGTCTGGCCTATCAGTTCTTGTCAGCACCAGATTTCATCAATACCTATTATTTCAAAGTGGCCAGGTACTACTGTTTTTATGATACGAATGCTAATTCTGGGGGGGAGGGGGGGGGGGCACTTGCCTGTTTATACAGTATTCTAAGCACATTGCATCATGGCTGGTGCCCCATGTGTGCAAGCATATGCAGCATATATGCACTTGAAGATAAATCGGACAGGCTTGCAATTGTGTGTACCTGCTCACATGAGGAGAAACATGGTGGCAGCATGATGGCCTGCTCGCTATTGCACAAAAAATATAATAAATTATTTTGCTCGCTTTGCCTAAGCAATAATATTTCTGCTATTTCATAATCCCTCAGTTGGCACCATCCTTTAACCTGGGTTTTCCGAGAGAATATTTTGTTGCAGTACCATTGTGCAAAGGCATCCATGATTTCAGGACAATGACCAGCAGGACCAGACACCAATGACTCCAGCTCTTTCTGGAAGCAGTCCAGTGTCCTCTGGAGCGATGCCCTGCAGGCAGACCCAGCCTCGACAGGGACCCAACAGGCCCGGGAAGAGGAGCTCCGCTGCTGCCGATGCCACAGCCATCTATAACCACGTAGCTGAGGCAAAAGTTCGCTTGCTAGAGGCCCAGACAAAGGCAGTCGAGGAAAGACGAATGCTAGACATGGAAAGACAAAGATTAGAAATTGGTGTCCTTACACTCCAACGAGATCAAGAAATCCTGAAACTAAAACTACTACAAAAAGAATAGGAAAACTTCAATGAGTAATTGACATTGCTCTTTAAAGTTTGTTTTGTACAGATAGAAGCTGAGGAAGGGGAGGATGCAAGAGCACGTAGGTACGTCAGAACCCTGAGCTCTGGTTGGAATGATTAGTGGGTAGATGCAAAACTGTACTCACTGTTTCCATGCATTCGAATGCCAAGCACCGGCATCTGGTGTTCTGCGCTCGCTCTCAAACAATGAGTAGAGACAAAGGCTCTGCCTCTATCCACTAATTATTCCAACCAGAGCTTGGTGTTCTGACATCCCCGCTCGCTCTCATCTCCTTCTCCCTCTCAGTGTCTACCTGTATACTTCTTCATGCAATAAAACTCAAAATCTGTTCATTAATGTTGCTTTTCTGTTTTATAATTTCTGTCGGATCATCACAACAACCAACATGCAATAATATAGCAATAGCTAGGGTTTAGTGGCTTGTTATTGCAAATTCTTTGCTTAATGAGTTGCAGTAAGGAAAGATTTGAATAATCAAGTCAGATTGTAGAAACATTCAGTATGTTCATTAGCGACCTAAGGTATTGTGTTTCGAATAAATTAAGCTTAAGAATTGTCAATGAAATGGGTCATGACCCTGAGGCTCCAACATACTTATAGCATAGAAGGTGGGGCTGTGAGGTTAATGTGAGTATAGGCATTTTTTCATCCTGACATTGCCTGTTCAGCTATTTTTTCTTCTGTCAGAGCCCAGTTGGCTAATTCATTGCATAGATATGAAAAGAACACATTCTTAGCAATTGCTCAAAGCTCATCAATTAGTGAAAATGCAGAGGCCTCAGATATTAATATTGAAATATTGTAGTGGGGTCTACAAACAATGTCATTGCCACACCGTAGTGGTGTCGTGATATAAACCCGCCTCAGAGTAAATTTCGTTATTGACCACAATGGAAGACAAATATTTAGAGACTTCATGCCATTGACAACCTTATGGATAATGGGGCTGTTAATGGTCAGTGTCTATGACTTTTGTAGCTCCTGCAGTTATCTCAAGAAAGGTTATCCAGTTGGTCACTGCGAAAGAATTTATAGTTGTCCAGCATCGGAACACATTTCAATTATGTCAAGCGCATTCATATTTTATTGACCACTACAGCTGTCCTGTCATTGTTATTATACTATTATTGGCAGACAGGTTCCAGCAATGCCGGAAGAGGGTGCACAAAATCCTAGCAGCTCAGGTAGGTTCGTACATCAGAGTCGCATGTTATTCTAATTTTACCTCCTCCATTGTTGAAAAAAGTGCCTCATGGCAGTATAGGCATGTTGGCACAAGGCTGCCATAATGCAAGCTGTCTTATTTTATACCTTTTTTTTTCTTTCTTACCTGAGCATGCTTACCAGGAAGTTGTGAGCCACTTTTGGAACCTGAGAGAGCCGCATGCGGTTGCGAGGCGCAGTTTGGCCACCCCTAGCCTAGTATTATGCTTTGAAAATCTTCCATTCTTATTATCAACCCAATCATTGATTTTCTTGTTGGAGTTTAAACTGATGTTATGTATGTTGTGCCACTGAGTAGGAATCCGTTAATTATCTTAGGAAGAAAGTGGGACCAAAGCAGTAATACAAAGCTTATAAGTTTTTTTCTGATAAAAATAAATAACTTATAGCTTTTATAGCTTTAAATGACAGTTTGAAAAAGCAGGACTACGCTTTATGTCATCTTAATCTACAGTTACAATCAAGGGGTAGCCAAGTAGTTAGTTTCCCCACAAGGCACCCCTGTATTGCGAGAAAGTATGCACAACAAAGTGAAAAAAAATCCGAACAGCATTTTTTTTTGTTTTATTTGTAAAATGAGGGTTTAGTTGTCCTTATGTCATCTAAAACAAAATATCGGCACTAACCAGACGGTTAGTTCCCCTTATGTTATCAAAAATGACAACCTACGATGTAGAGGTAGTCATGACATTAGTCCCCCCAAAAAGCACCCTGTATTGCAATGAAGTGCACTCAATCAAATAAAGAAAATATGAGCTGCATATTTTTTTCCAAAACCATGGGGTTAGTTTTCCTTATGTTATCGAAAATGAATATGTTATCCAAAAAGAATCTACAATGTAGAGAAAATCATGACATTAGTTTCCCCATAAAGCATCTCTGTATTGCAATGAAGTGTACTAAACAAAATGGTCAACATGAGCAGCTTTTCATTTTTCCACTCTTTGCTTATATCCAGGTAGATAGCTCCCTGGCACCTAAAACTACAACTTATAAAGTTTGTTCGTAAAGTATTCAGTGATTTTTATTATCTTACTAACCCGAGGCACAGCTCCAATGTCAATTGGCCAACAGTCAGGGACCCTTCTGCACATGCGTGAACAATCAGCAAGATGCCATCGAATGAGGTGAAGAACTGTGTCATCATCAGATTTACTATGACTTAGAGAGTTGATCAGAGATCGCAGATCTTTATACTTCAATATTCATCACCGGACACATTCAGGTACAATTCATTGAGCACTCCGGAGATGGTCGGCATGCTGTTGAGAGTGATGCATGCTCCAGAAGGCCCTTCATAGCAAGAATACCTGTCAACTTAAAGTGAATGTGAGCTACTATCAACAATAACTGCCGAATGACAGTGAGAGAATTAGGAGACCTGGCAATTCCACAGAGAACATTTTCAGAAGTTATGATGGAGGATTTAAGCATAAAACGTGTGGTGAAAAAAATTAATTGTGAGGTTTTTGTCACAGGATTGGTGGATTGCCATCCTATTCTTTTATTTCGAAATACGCATTAAATTGGTGGTGCCCGTCCAGGTGGTACCTATAGAGGCATGTTATTTTATAAAAAATTTTCTTCCTCACCCCAAATTTATGTCACAAAAACAGGATGGTTTTCGTGATAAAGTTGCAAAGAACTTGATTAAAGCAACAACAATCCAGTTTTAAAGAAAGTTATAACTAGGGCTGGGCGTCGATTATTAATTTTAACCCGATTAATCCCCACCTTTTATTGATTAATCGGTCTCGTTTATTTTCATGCACAATGTTAAGGTCTGCAGGTTCTAAGAGAGCACAGAAAAGTCGGAGCCACGCGAGCATACTGTTGACAACACTTTTTGATTATAAACGAGAGGTCCATTATGAGTATGGTCCTTTAGGCCAGACA